ATATTCCACAGCTGTGGCTTCTCCACCTTCCACCTCCATAGCTACAGAAAGTGTCAAGAGGGTCGGTGTGTCACTTACCTCTCTCTCGTTGTATTTCCGGAGGAGATTAATGTGATAGACCTTTGACTTACCTTTAATGTTGATCTTATAATGGATCCGGGATATCTTCTCTACTACCGTATAAGGGCCTCCCCAAGCTAACTCTAACTTAGACTTCCCTGATGGTAGCAGCAAAAGAACCCTATCTCCAACCTCAAGACATCGTTCCTTCGTCTTCCGGTTGAAATGTGCAGCGTACCTCTTACGTGCACGAATCAAGTTCTCTTTAGCCAGGTCCCACCCTAGCTTTAACCTTTCCTTGAGTTCCTGCACATACTGTGATATGGTTTTCAAGGAATCATCCGCCCCTTCGTCTGTCCATGTCTTCCTGAGAATGGCCAAGGGTCCAGAAATGTGTCTTCCGAACACCAAGGTCGCAGGTGGAAATCCAGTAGAGGCATTGGGTACTTCCCGGTAGGCGAATAGTGCTGCAGACAGATACTCGTCCCTCCTCTCTGGCTTTTCCTGGGTTAATCATCTCAGAAGCGATACCAACGTTCCATTGAACCGCTCATTCTGGCCGTTCGCTTAGGGTCGGTATGGACTGGTGCAAATGTGTTGAGACTTGATTATCTGAAACACCTCCTCCATTAGTTTCCCTCTTAACTGAGATCCATTGTCTGTCAGTATCTGCGAAGGGAATCCCACTCTTGTGAAAATGCTCATCAATGCCTCTGCCACAGTCTTACTGTCAATCCTCCGAAGTGCAATAGCCTCCGGATAACCTGAACAACAGTCAATATGTAAGCATTCTTCTTCTTTGTGAGAGTAAGTTGTCCCACCAAATCGACCGCCACCCTTTCAAAAGGTATGGAGGTGACAGGGGTTTCCCCCAGTCCGACTGGTGCATTCCTGCCTTTGGGAGCTACCTTCTGGCACTCCGGACAGGATTTGACATAACGCATGATATCTGCTGACATACCTGGTCAAAAGTAATGACAGGCAATGCGTTGTGTCGTTGCATGAATTCCCATATGGGCACTATAGGCTATAGTGTGCCCCATCTGGAGAATCTGCTGTCTATATGTTTTGGGTACCACAAGCTGACTGTGCTCTGTATGCTTGTCACTTGCCCATCTGTAAAGTAACTTACCTTTCATGAAGAATTCTTTCTTCAAAGGGGGATTGTGACTTGCAGTTAACTTTTTAAAACATGCCTTAAGGGTTGGGTCACTACTTTGGGCCACCTTAATTTCCTCAGGAAGAGGATTTACATGAGGAGAATCCTCTAAGGCACTTTTATGCTGTGCTCGGGTGGTTACCGCAGCAAGATGCTCTGAAGGTTTTTTCGGCTCTGCTAAAAATACATAAGTAGCGCCAAGAATTAAATCAAAGGTACAGTGTTCAAGCACTGCAGCCTCAATTACCCCCGAGACATACTTTGAACGGACCCTAATCTTAGCAATCGGCAAGTTTAAAGGTTTAGCATCCAATGTGGCACATTGGAGCTCTATGAATCTGCCAGTATACTGATCAGGTTTTACAAACTCTGGCCTCATCACACAGCCGTATGACAAACCACTATCATACAGACAATTTAAAGAATATCCGCTAGCCCAGACCCTCTCTACCACATATGGCCTATTGGAACCATTGTACAACTTTTCCTGGGTAGAAGGTACTACAGTAGACAACAAATCTGATATTTGTAAATTCCCTGACTGTTTGGATTTACATTCCTTAGTCCAGTGGTTATTATTCTTACAAATATGGCAGTAAGGCTTTTAAAGCCCATTAAAGGGTTGTCAATGTTGTGTTCCCTGACCTTTTGAGGGGTTCTGGGGTTGTGCTTGGGATGTATTCTTTTTAGGGGATTCATTTGGATGGGTTTTATGACTATTACCATAATTTTTCCCTGGGCCTTGGATTTCCCACCTATACACACCTCTTTATGTGCCATCTCATACCTCTCAGCATACATCAACATCTCACTCAGTCTGTCAGCACCATTCTCCGTCAGGAAGGTTTGCATAGGTCGAGGTAATGTCTCTCGGAGTTGTTCCGTTAGGACCATCTCCTGTAAATCTTCAAAAGAAGAGGAGTATCCAGACATTTCCCTCCACCTGGTCAAATATCCCTGAAGGCGACTGGCGAACTGGGGATAGTTCTCCCCTGTCATCTTTCTCTCATTTCTGAACTTCTGTCTGTATGTCGCAGCATTAAGTTCGAAACGTTTCAGCAAAGCCTGACACAATGCATCATAATCAGTCTCCGTACCGGTGGGCATCCGTTGATAAATCTCGTATGCCTCACCCCTCAAACCTTGTGCCAACTTCAGCGTGTACATATTCCTTTCCAAGTTGTACAAAGATGCCAATTTACCAAATCGGTCTGGTACTGTTCAATATTTTCAGCCTTCGGGTCGAAGACTGGCATAGGAAAGTTCATCGCTTGAGCTGAGCTACTGTGCGTTGATGCACCATCAATATCAGGTGTCGGAGATCTGGGTCTATTACCCTCTCTCTGAGCCTGAAGTTCCAATTCTCTTAACCTCACCTCCTGTTCCAATCTCATTCTTTCTGACTCCCTCTCAGACTCAATTCGGAGTCGTTCAGTTTCTTGAATCCTCAGATTCAATTCTGAGCCGTTCGGTTTCTTGTACCCTCTCAGATTCTATTCTAGTCTCTCAGCCTCACAGGCTTCCATCCTCATCTCACGTTCCGTGGTTTTAATCCACTCGGTCATTTCTTTACCCTCCAATCCCATCTGGACAGCCATGTCCTTCAATTCCTGTATGGAAATTTTTGACTGCGACATGCTGTCTTGTCAATCTAACAGTCCACAACAAAATATATTGTCACCAACAATGTAAATATAATCAACAATGGATTAAATTATCACCACCAACCAAGGATTTACCTAACCCAATGTACTTAGACACCACAAAACACCACAATGATTACAAATCACTCCTAGGAGTACATTCTAAGAACTGACCCAGAATGGTCACAACTGTGTTAACAAAATACAAACACTGAACAACTCCTGGCCAAGATCACCAGCAACTTTAAAGATTGAACAGTGTATACAAACAATCCCACGACGAGACCACAGATTTTTGGGGATATGTTGTTCTGTCACATATCACTCCTGTCACGTGCCTGATGTAAGGATTTCTCCTTCAGAACCAGCAGCACTCAGAAATAATTATGTTGAGTCGTTTGGCTCGTATTGGTCTAAGGGATTCCCCGTGGCCAATATACGCTCAACTTATTTCTGGAGTAGGGCAACTCAAGTATTGGCACTATAAAATATATCAGTATATGAATACAATATTCCTAGGCACACTTGGCTGGACACCCCCACTACTTACTAAAGAAAGCCCCCAGGTTATGATAAGTCATTATCATAACCATGTTAATACATATAGTTAAGATTGATACACACACAAATGCTACACATTTAAAAAGGTGAAATAGAGAAACCTAAGTCAGCCATGAAAATGAATGCATGTAATCATTACAACATGTACAAAATAGAAAATAGTGAAGTAGATGTCAAAACACAACAGCTGGATTCCAGAATACAATGACTATAATCAACCAAAGTTAAACAGTCAGAAAGTCCTGGAGGAAGCATATGTTCATCCTTGGAATCCAGTGGAGCTGTGGGGAATATAGCATAATTGAGACATAACACAAACCAGTCATCGTCATGATAGGAGAGGTCAAGCCACTAGAAAACAAGAAGAAGATAACCAGCTGGAACTACAAGAAAGCAGACTAGGACCTCTACAGAAACTTAACTGAAAAGAAGCTATCCGAGCCCTTTCTCACTAATGAGGTTAGAAAAAAAGACAACTTTTACCAATATCATACTCGAAACAGCACAAAAATCAATCTCCCGAGGTCGAAGTCAAAACTGTGAACCCTTCTGGGCCTTCTGGAATATTGTATAAGAATATTGGAAGCATAGCAAACAGAATAGTTATTTATTAGTACAATGATTTAAGACAAGAAGTATGTTAAAATATCACAAAATATTTATCTTTCACAGTAAATAATAAGCTCAAAATAAGAAAGCAGTTGGAAGTTAAAGCAAGTAATTTAAATATAGATAATACTTGTATTTGTTAAAATAAGGTCTAATGAGACAGGGGTTTTCTTTATGATTTTTCTTCAACTGTGTTTTTTGCTTGTTATTTTCAATAATAAAATTGCAGTTTTTAATAGCTGAAGAAATTAGCCCCTATTTGAATTGATGATAAGGTGAAAATGTTGAAGTGTTCCAGTTTTGTTGACCCAATAGCATATAGACCCACTGGCACTAGCAAGTGTTCTAAAGCTGGCATAACATCAACCAAAGCCCCATAATTGCATTAAATACTCACTTATATCCTTTTGGATTAACAATGTGATTTTCATGTTCCTGTTTGTTTTAATGTGTTTGTTGATTCTGTGCTAACACAGTATTTTTGCTGTTTTATAAATTGTTGTTTGTCATCTCTGATTCATCTTTGTAGACATATTTTTGGTACTCAAGTTGTGTACTCCGTTTAAATGTAGACACGGGGGGTACATGCCTGACTCTCTCCTTATTTGCATTTAAAAAAAACTAGTTCTGTTTCAGTTTTAAATAAAGAGAAATAATGTTTTATGTGCAGTCTCTCAGCTTCTCATAGGTAGATTATAATTATGTTTTTACAGTGTTGTTTATTATAGAGATTTCACACCAGCTCAGAGACTCAGACTTGTGCACCCACATGATCTCTCTTTCTCTCTCTCTTTGTCTCACTCTCCACTGATAATTTGATAGTGATAATGAGAGTCTTATGTTTACTAATATATCATTACTTATTTTTTTTTCCAGATCTGTCAGCAGATTCCCATTCCTGACAATGAAACATCAGTTTACTCTTTAGTGTAACCTCAGTCTGTTAAATAACTTCATAAGTTGCCAAAATGTGGCTCAAATGCTGCTTGCTTCTTATGTACATTTTGCTACTTTTTGTACTGTCCCGAATTCTGGAGGCCATATCATGGTGTGAGTCTAGCTACAGTGGAGCCTTGTCGCGCCATCTGCTGGATCCAATGGTTCTGTCAGTGGCCAGACTGAAGGCTTTGTTGGAACAACGGGGTGTCAGTTATGACAATGTAGTGGAGAAATCAGAACTTACCAATTTGGTTGAGACCTCAGGTGTGTAGATGAGTTGTGTTATTTACTTTCAGTAGACTTTTGGATATCTTATATCCTGTGTGGTTTAGTATCCCACAGCATATCAGCTTTTTTCCAACCAAGATTTTACACAAAGCATGAAACTCCTTATCTTCAGCGTTGACACCCAGGGATCCCCCACATTATCTGGACTTGCGAACTGAAAGACAGTGTCTGAACCCAAATCTAGGATCTTCAGAGCAGGAGGCAAAAAGCTTGCCCACAGAAATCCCTATAGAGTATACTGTAGTTTTTGTGTGACTTTTCAGGCAATAGTTTTTTTTTATTGTGCTATAGGGTTGCATGAGAGTCACATCCCATAGTCACAACAGTTCAGGCCAGAGATGAAGTTCATTCTCTCCATTGCACAAAAGCCTGGACAGTAATGTAGAGACTATATGTTGCCCATGCTGCATGATCCCTTACTTGGTCTACTTTATTAACTCCAAAGGAAAGATACCACCAATACATTTGGAACAGAGCATGCAGCAGAAGCTCTCGAATCAGAAGAGCAGTGCTGTGTCTGCCTGTTAGAGGTTCCCTTTCGACAAGCTGTCAACCAAGATTATTTATATATATATATATTATATATATATAAATGGCATTGGTGATGGGTTAATTTTTTTTTTCTGAGTATGGAAACTTATGAGACACCCTGTGTTGAGTTGAGTCAAGAATTGACATCACAGCATTCCCATGCATGCTCCATCCTCATCTTAAGCAGCCAGCGCAGAGTTCCAATACTGATGGAGCCGGTCACAATCTGGTTATATGTTCATCTTGCCTTTTCTCTGAGTGTAGTTAGCCGGTCAGACCCTCTGGTTACGCCCTGGTGCCTCATTCTCTTCAGGATAATAATAATTTTCTTTTTCAACTGATTCTGTTGTTTGTTCCAAAAGGGCCTTGACCACATCTGATTTGTCATGTATAAATTCACCACCCAGTGATGCAGATCAAGTCAATCTATCTGTCTGTTCATAACCCACCACGCCGGCATGGCCTGTGGAAACAAATCCAAAGTATGTTCACTACCTGTGACCTTTCCGGTGAAGCTTGGCACTCTGCTCGAAGCATCCCTGTCTTCACCTTTCACAGCATGCTTTCAGAGTCTATTACAATTCTGACATTTGTATGCATTTTGTTCTCTAGCCACCAGAGAGCTGCAGTTACCGCCTCCACCTCCATTCTCATGCTAGATGTTGTGTCATATGCTAGGCTGTCTAGCACTAAAGATTTTCCAGGCTGGGACACCCTGTATTTTGATTTAATAATACACAAACAATTTTGGTGTTGAGCTTCACTGAGGGTCCTTTCCTGATTCATAAGTTGAGGTATTAGTTTTAGGTTGCCTTTCCATTATATAAAATATTCCTGTATGCTTGTGTAATGAGGACATATATCTTCCCATGTTGAGAAAAAAAAAACATTATTAACTAATGAATATCTTTGAAGACCAGTAGTGACATTCTACAAGATCTGAACATTGATGAAAACTGGCTCATTAATAAAGTTGTGTCTTGGAAACTAAAAAAAAACCATTGGAAATATTAAGCAAGTAATATCAGTGTCTTAAAAAGAACATTAATGCACTGAAGTGGTTCTTGGTATAAGATTAGGGGTTGATTAGCATAAATGTATGCAGGATATCAGGACACTTTGGGCATGAAAATGTATGAAGCGGTGGAAGATAGTCTTTCCACTAGACCATGATAGGAATGGCATTTTGCATAAAACCTGATGCACAGTGATGCTGGGAGAATTTGGAGCTGCAAAGCATAGTGTTTTTTTTATGATGGCCACCAAGATAGTTCAAGCCAGATTCAGTTCCCAGCAGCAGAAGGATGTGTTTTTTTTCTTCTTTGTTAATGACCAGTGCAGCTCTCTGGTTGATCTAGCCTTATAAAGTGGGCACCAAACAATTGTCAGAACTGTCTGGAAATTCTCTGGGAAGGAATGTAGTCAGAAACTGGACTGACCTTATTATTAACCCTTTCACCCTGAAATGCTGCTCACCTGGCAGATCCTTCCGGTCCTAGGCTGATTTGTCGCTAAGAAGCTGAATTAATGGCACTGGTTCTGTTTGCACCTGCGCAGTGTTTAGGAGGCCATGCATAAGATTTTTTTGTTATTAAAAATAGAGTGAGGGGGGGAGGGGAGTGTTATAAAAAAAAAATGGCTTTTCAAGGCCATTGTTTCTTAACTCACGTTGAATTTAAGTTACAAATCAATGAAGTCATGGGTCAACATGTAATTTTATTTTTTGGCGCAGGGAGTTTTAAATCCATTTTAATCTCCACTCCATATTTTTTTTTATTAACAAAAATATTGAATGTGCGTGAAAATTTTTGTTTTCAAGATTGGGGGGGGGGGGGGGGGGGGGGAATTGTAAATAACTGGGGTCATAGCTGAGGAATAAAAAAAGAGGATTAAGAAACAAAGGGTAAGTCAAGTATAGTGAAGGACCCTTTTTCACGCCTTTAGGCATATAGGGCTGGACCTATATTTTTTAGACCAATTGGCACAAGATGGGCCGCCTTTGCACCCGCCGCCTTTACTTCCTGGGACTGCATCTGGTACCCACTCAAGGCTGGGTGACCTGGGAGCCAAGGTCATTTTTTTTATCAAAGCCCGGCTCCGCCAGGAAGTGAACCCACGACCTTCTGATCCGCGGCGAGCATCTAGCCGCTCGGCCACGGCGACTCCCCAAGAAAAAAAGGGTAGAACATATTTATTTATACCTCACATCTAGGAAATTGTCTATATCCTATAGGAATGCCAGATCTAGAAGAAGCTTCTCCTTTATAGGTCCTCCATCTTCTGCTGCAAGTGATTCTTTGAGTGACATGGATATGTGTACTAACAGTAGTCTTTGTATGCATTATTTTTCTGTTTTAATCATCAGGCCATGTCAGCGCCGAAGAAGTTGAAATGTCTCAGGTTGATCAGACAACATCTTCCGAGACCAATTTTACTTCTGGAGCTCACTTCATTGAGCAGGTTAGTACATGGAATACAATAAAATACCTGTATGTTTATAAAGATGACATAATACGATCCTCATGATGTTTTTGTTGCCCTTGAAAGTTGGAGAGCACGATTCTGTAAGAGACCTGCTACAAGATAATGACTGCCACTACTTCCAGTTTACCAATTTTGCTGTGGGGGGGGGGGAGTAGAGGGTCTTTGGGCTAGTGCTGTCACTGTGAACTGTGCAGGGGTTAGGGCTTTAGTTTTTTCACGACAGAAAAAAATCCACAATCCTACCAAGGGTTCAAACCTGAAAATGCAAGAGAGTCTAGCGTTCTCAATCGTTAGGCCAATGCTCCTCACCAAAAATGATGACACTAATATAAATTTCTTTACAAATAAAGGATGATATGTATGAACATAAGGAGGTAAAAAAAAGGTAAAGGATTTTTAAAAAATGATAGCCGATAGTTGGAAATAAGAAACTAGAAATCCATGAATTACACAGACTGCATACATATTTGGTGTGTGGCTTAGAGGCTACTGAATGCAGTTAACAGTTTCATGACTCTCGAGTACTGTGGTTCATTCCTCATGGTGTAAGGGTAAAAATCTGTTCTCATGGTTTTTAGACAATGGTACGAGAGTCACACCGTGGAAGAGATTAGGGCCTCACTACGTACTATTCCCAAAGAGAACAGTGATACATTATGTGTAGCCAGCCTTCATTGTAAAAATTGCACTGAACTTTAAGTTTAACATACTTGGTAATACAAGGTCTGAAAATTAAGTAATGAGACTAATTCCATAAAAATTAAAATAATCAACAGTTAAAGATATAACCTGTATTCGATTCAAAGTAAGCCCTTTGTGCATTGATGCAGAAAGTGGCACGATCTAACAAACACTGGAACGGTCTCTGTAGTTCTTCTGTTGTAATGGGCCTTAAAGTCGATGTTACTGCCCTTTGGATGTCATCAATATCGTTAAAAAAGCATCCTTTCGATCGTAACTTTAATTCTGGGAATAGAAAATAATCACAGGGAGATGAATATGGTGGAAAGCTGGAACACACACCTGTTTTTGGGCCAAAAACTCTTGTTTTGATGATGTCTTTTGGGTACTCAACCCGATGATTTTTTTGGTCATCAGACAACTAATATGGTACAAACCTGCAAGCATCTTTTTTCTTGCTAAAATTTTGCACTAAAATGTTGTGAATGGTCTCTCTGTTAACACCAGATTCATCTGCCATCATCCTCACAGTAAAACAATGAACTTCCTGCATCCATTCTTTGATTTTTGCAACGAGTTCATCATTACGAATAGAAATTTGGCATCCATGTCTAGGTGCATAAGTAATCATTTCCACACCACTTTTTAATCATGAGTACCACCTGAAATTGTGTGCACGCCCAAGGAACCCGCTCCATACTATTTCGACAAAGAGCAATTTCTTGCTGACCAGTATGCCCATTACGAACAAGAGGAGTTTGAGCAGTGAAACGAACCACAACAGCCCATTCCCACCAAGAGAAACAAACAAGGAGGACGCCGACACTATTAACGAAGCAGAAGCCCAAAACCCAAGCCGCCATCTTTCCGGAAAAGCCAGCCCGCTAAACGGAGGACGCACGGACATCGCCAGACCCACAGAAAATCCCACCCTTCCCGTTCCAGGCCGCCCCAGGCACATATGGCAGTGCTTTTCAGGGCTGCCATTTCAAATCCCAAACAAAACTGGAAACCGCCCACTAAGCCTGACAAGCAGACATGTTGTAGCAGCAAGAAATCAAAACTAAGACGAAAATTATCGCCGCAAAGAAACGAACTAAACTCAGACAGCAAAGAAATCATCCTTGAAAAAGCAGGCCTTCAGGCGGCTAAAAAAAAGGACTGAGTTTGACATTTTTGTTTTCTTTATCCAAGTTCCAAAGGCGTGGAACAGGGTCCTTATTGAACCCACTGAGCTAGCATGAGAAATCAACTCCCATGTATTAATTGACATTCACATAAGTAGAGGATGGAAACAGTGGTATTCAAATAGCAAAGACTTGCTATCATTTTTTGGTGATAGGTTCAGATCTATGTGTGGTCACTATAGCTTCTGTTTTCTTTTTTGTATAATGTGTCCTTTTGGAGTCATTGTTGCACAGTGGCTTGCATACTTCACTGCCAGCTCCATGTTCCAGGCAAATTTAATTGTTCTGGGCTTCTAGTTGACCCAAGCTCAAATCCTTATCAGGAAATGACCTGGAAAGCAAAGATGATTAGAATGATAAAGACCACATCGTTTGTCGAGTGCCTTGGGACCCTGTGCTTTTCAAGGAATGAAAAGGACCCTAATCGATTTCACTTGTATGTTCTCTACTGTCAGATTCTTTTCTGTACTTCATTGGGTGATGACCAGTCTTCTCTGCTTCTTCTTTTCCTCCATTTACCTCTCTGGGGTGTTGGGGGGAAGATATAAGGATCCCCTGCATGTTTTGTCTAATCGTTGCCTAAGTTGATCTTCATTTCTTAGAGGCTGTTCTTAATCTCATCGTTTCATCTTCTCTTCTGTGGTATTCCCTTTGCCCAACCAATACTTGTGATAACTTCTAATGCTGCTTCTATGACTTATGACTTTTTTGATTTAGGTTGAGGATGCCAAGGACAGCGTGTGGCTGGTGCAGGTCGTGTCTGATAACAGAAAGTTTCGAATCATGAGTAGCAGAGGATGGAGGGCTATAAGAGAGAAGGCTTCCAGGTTTGGGATTCGCACTGGATATCTTGACTGTTCCTTGGATGTGAGGTATCTTGTCTTTGTTTTCTATTCCCCATTCTCTTTCTTATTTTTCTCCATCAGTTAGAGCATAGACCTTCAAATAACTCATATCATATGTTTAAATCCCCAAGAAGCAAGATATTTTTTTGGTAGTAACTCACCTAGTCAAGCCTGCCTAAATTGGGTAACATGAACTGTTCTGTAAAGGCTGTTTTATGTTGACCACATCACATATCAAAAGTCAAGTTTCCATAAATAAAATGAGATTAGCAAAATATATCTCTTACACCTAAAAACATGAAATAGGTTCTTTTACTTTTGCTCATATGGTAAATATTTTACTGTTTAATAAAAATATTTTTTTCATTATTAATTACTTGTGAATACCCAAATGGTTAGTGACAGTTATTGCAAGAGATATTTTTTTTTAAACACTTGAAGTGAAAGAGTTGGCTGAAATAGTGAAGCCATTCCTTCAAAATGTATAAGAAATGCAGTGGGAAAAACAAGAGGAAAGAGATTCACCATTGAAAAACTAAGAACAGTGTTAGGCACGGAACTGTTAAATGGTTTCATAGAACATCAAAGAATCAAATGGTTTGGTCATCTAGTCAGAGTGGAACAAAATCTCATGTACTACATGAGAACAGCTGGCTACAAGGCAAGAGGCCAACCAAAAATGAAATGGGAGTACAAGAGACATTACAGAAATGCAATTTGACATTAACACAAGCAACTACCCAACTAGCTAAAGACAGGAAACTACATATAACTTCTCTCTGCAATGATTTATGGCAGGGCTTTTCAACTGGCGGTGAGTGGGCTAAATCTGGCTCGTGTAGGCCAAGCAAATTCCCTGCGCATCGTTGCCATTTGTATTGTATTAATGATCTTCCTATGTTGGAGTTTAGGTCTCAGGCCCATGATGATCCTAATTTTCAAAACTGTGGCCCGTCTTAGTTGAATAGCCCTGTTTTATGGCATAAGCCAGTCTAGTTGCTGCGCCTTTTTTCAATTAAAAATTTTCCGCAGCACCCTAACCTAAGTAAAGGTATGACTTCGTATGTGAGAGAAACAAAAATTAAAACTTGTGTATCTTCAAATATTTCTCGGCGCCCCTGTAAAGAGGTTGCTGCTCTTCGGGGTGCCGTGTCGCACAGTTTGGGAATCACTGGCATTAGCAGCAGGGCAAAAAAAAGAGATTTTCTTTTCAAATGAAAGAGTGCATTCATTACTTTTTTCTTTAATTTATTTAAAAAAATTTTTTTTTTTCACTTATGGCACCTTAAGAAGTTGTATTTGTAATAATACTATTGTTGATCCATCTTCACATTTACTCTGCCCACAGATACTGTAGACAGAAAGGATGGAGATCTCCTTTCCTGCTACTGGCCCTCCCAAGTCAGTTTGAAAAGAAAGCTAGCGTCACCATGTACAATTACTCTGGATCTGTAAAAGAAACTGCTGTGTTTCAATGGGTGCGGGATAAGTTGGATGAAAGAATTCTGCGAATAACAAATGCAACGCTGTTTCATCAGGAGTGGCAGGACTTTTCGAAGAGTTCCTTAGATCCAGAAGTTCGGATGGTTCTGTTTACAAAGTTAAATTCAGCACCTCTTTTCTATTCAGCTCTCAGTGTGAAGTTTCCTGGCAGAGTCAAGTTCGGGCTAGTCTCTCTCAAAACGGATGACACGTTTAATACATTTTGGAAGCATATTCTAGGGAAAGAACAGTTTAGTGAAATTCCAACCTATGTGACTTACACTGTAGAAAAGAACTATACATATGGATTACGACCAGGCGAACTATACACCTTTCTCAGCATGGAACAGTTTCTGAAGTTTCTATACCCCTGTCTTAATGATATCTTTATAGTTAGTTTCTGTGTGGCAAATTTCCTGTCCTGGTTTGAACTCTTTACATCTAACTGTAGCATATTGAGAAGATTTCGTAAATTTATTTGGTGCATGTTTAAGTATAACATTGCAGTTATAATGCTGTGGTTACCAGTAATAGGAATTTTTCAGATGCCTTACTTAGATCGCGTGCCACTTGCAGCGTTAAAGATTGCCAGGATTTTGAGTACGTCCCAGATTGGTATTATATTACGTGGTGATTGTCAGTTTTTCTTGAGTCACCCTTTTTATATTCTTGTAAGTTTTACTTTATACCTGATCCTAGTTACTTACTTATGCAAGAAATATACCCCAGTGGAACAAGACGAAGAGACTTGGTTTAACTTTAGCTTCATGAGAACACATGCTTACCTTCGACCAAATGACATTTTTCAACCAATGGGAATGAGCGGGTATGATCTGCTTGGTGGATTAGATGTTTTTGCTTCACGGATATCCCAGACCTCCCTTTGGCTGCACCCTACCATTTCTTTAGATTACATTAAACATCTTCCTACTTGGCGTTACTGCCCGGTGCCTTTATCAGAAAGAGCTGCAGGGAATTCTGGAAAAGTTGAGGTGGCAATGAATACAGCTTCAGGAACTGTTGGGTTGACTTCTGTTAGTAGCAGAAAGGAGCTTTTCAAGCCAGAACAGAAATATTCTGGTGACAGACAATCAGAGCAAGTGAATTCATCAGAAAAGTGTTCTTCTGCAGTTGGAAATGTAGATGGCCAAACAGTATGTTCCTGTATCCAAGCTTCTTGTAATATAAACATTCAGGCAGCTCACGGAGGCCATCATTCATGCAAATGTTTCCACAATGATAATTCTTCTGACTTGACAGCCGGTTCCTTGAGCAAGCAAAGTTTAGATACTGCTACTTGTACAGCACCAGCCAACACATCAGCAGCGGTTCAGGATCATCCATGTCTTCACACTCGTGGTCATCACAGTGAAAGCAGTGATCTTCCTAGAGCACCTTGCACTAGCACTCACTCATCCAAACCCAAAACTTGTGATATAATTCATGATATCAAAAACAGCATTGCTTCAGAATCTCTCCAAACATCTTCAGCTTGTTCTGGAGCTACCACTCTTGCAACAGACAAAGATGTAGTTCCTACCAGTTCAAATTCCTCAGTTGGCAATGGGTTTCCTTCAGGTTACTTAGAGAGTCTTCAGTGTGTCATATGCCTGGATGAATACGCCCCATTGACAATGCTGTGTGGATTGCCCTGTGGCCATGTCTTCCATGAGAGTTGTATTATCTCCTGGTTAAACAGAGAGAAACACTTCTGCCCCATGTGCCGTTGGCCATCTTACAAACTTCATCCAAATCACATTTAGGCAGTGAGCCTTCAGTGTCAGTACTAATTCATTTCTACATTTTGCGGTGAGGAACTTGCATGACTTTAGGCAGTTTTATGTATTGTTAACTAAACTATGCCATTGTTCGATATAAGACATTAGTAGATACAGGAAGGTAAATAGGGAGCTGTAATAACTCAGTGACTAACAACCTTGCCTTCTAAACCGTGGTAATGTGTACAAATCCTAATTAAAGTACAGATTAAAAAAAACAAAAACACTTTGTCTTCAGAGTGGCCCAGATTTAACTCTTTCAGTCCTAGGTTCTTTCAAAGTAGAAATCCAGTTTGACATAATAATCACAGTAAAAAAGACACCAGCACATGACTTTAAAAGATACAGGATATACTGTGCTACATTTCAAATATTTGTCCATAATTTATTTGGCATACTCAGACCAAACATGAAATAAATAATAACATACAATGTGTTGTATTGGTACACATAGACTGAGCTTGCCTGGAGCATTACTTGGGGCAGAAAGAGTTAATGGATATTAGGAAATGTTCTAAATAGTGTTATTGCCCACTTGATCCACTGAGTGTGAATCATCCTTTAAACATTCGGGGCTAGCATCCTATACCAAATATGCCAGATGACAAAAAACAGCTCCTTGACTTTTAAAACTATAAGCAAACTACTGAATGTAAATGTACCTAGAAAATCAGGAACAGTTATTGAATACTGTGATTGGCTTGACATCCTGAAGAGGTCATGCATTTGTCTTTTAAAAATTCACCTACGGTAGAGTGGTTGGCCGAGTGGCTCTTATATGGGAGACCTAGGTTAGATTTTCAGTAAGGGATGAAGATGTTTTTCTGTCAGGAACGCAAAATAAGAATCCTAGTCTGCACAGTTCATGGTGACTACACTAGCCATGCGGCCGTAAATTATTAGGATTACCATCCCTTGTGTGTTACACCGCACTTAAATACAGATAGTAAGGCCTTTTCTTCTTTCTTTTCTTTTCCCTTTTTTTTCCTAACAGTAAATAGTTTATTGTTGATTAGAAATGACTTACTTCACAATAAAGTTATTTATGGTTTCCCAAAAAGGTTTATGAAAAATGTTAAAGCAATGCAGCATGTGAAGATTTTAATTAGAGACTTGTTTGACTATAAGCATGTTGATGTTCCTTATACAAAAACTAGATTTACTTATCGAATTGTCAGATGGCAGGTGATATTTGTTTTTCTTTCATTTTTTTATTAGCATATTTCAGGGTTTACTAAAAAAAATGTCTTTGCTTAATTAAGCAACTTAAAAGCTTGGCTTTGGAAATTTCAAAATTCAACAGAAATTTTATCTGTTCTAAAAGTGACAGACAGACAGAAAAGTAATAATTGTACACCTTCATGCCAAATTGCTAGCAAGCTCACAAATTTATTTTTGGAAAGATAATGTGGTAATTACCTATTGCCTTTTGCATCCACATGTGTTGTTTCTACCCCATTTGCTTCAATGGTAGACGACTTAGTCGCTGGTCTTGACACTATCTGGGTATGCGTCCTTTAATTGCAACACTGCAGGAGTCTTTTTCAGGGCTTTTGGTGGCAAGCAGTGCTTAACCATTTCATATGGCGCACATAACCTAGTCACAAATATAACCTAAAGCTCCCCCTTCAGGGATTCTGGTTGAACATGGCGATTTTTGTGTATGGATTTCGTTCGAGCGAAGCAACAGAACAGAACAGGGGAAATAACCTGAAAATGTTGAAAAATACAGGGTTAAGTAGTCAGTCTCATGCCAGCCATATCCTTAGTCACCTCTTCTGACAAACTATTCCTGGCTTTCCTTGCGGACTCCAGTAACACCCAGACAGTCCTCTAATGATTGGGGAAAGGGGGGGGGGGAGGAAGGGGTGTATTTAGGAATATCAATTTATGCATCATTGATTGTGATGGCATTTCTCGTATTGTCCATTTCAGAGCATGAGTGACATAAAAGCAGTTGCAGACATGTGCACTACTATCTGTCATTTTGCCTGTTAGAATATCTGCTTTTTTTTTGCGAGCATTGTCAAGACTAACTTGACAGAGTGAACATGTTTCCTTATAAAATATGCACACTTGATGAAATCCAGGGCTACAGTAATACTTTAGTTAACATGAACTTACTTAAGAACACTCATTTAAGATGAACAAAATTGTCCCCGTATCATTATTAAACCCGGTTAGTAAAACATTTCTACAACAAACTCTTAATTTATTGGTCCCTTCATGTTAACAAGGTTTTACTGAATTATTTAATTTTATTGAGGGTCATAATCATTTATTTTCACCTTTGCTGTTGTGAGGAACAGTTTGCGCTCCATTGCTTAATTGCTAGCATTGACTCTAGTGATTTCATGTCGATGTAGAAGGTCTTTATTTTTCTCTCTCAATTTTCTCCTAGAGCGATCTTTTGTTTTCATGTCAGATCTTTTCATGTGTAGTGTCCGTGTTGGTAGCTGTTATGGCTTTATTCTAATAAGAGGACCAAACCATTTGTTCTTCTGTTTCTTAGTGAATTTGGTGCATGGTGTTGTTCCTGCAGTCTTTCTGATAATATTATTTCTCTGTCTCGGATGGTTATGTTGTCAGCTTTCCTCTGGCATTTCATTTCACAGGTGTTAATTTTACAGTCTTTGATAATGTCCAAGTTTGGCACTGGTAGTACAGAGCTGGTATGAATATGCTGTTTATAATTTGTTTCTTGGCTGTCATACTTTATTTGTGGAGATTTCTACCATTGCACAATACATGCCACTTAAGAAGGTAATTTAAATTATTTAGCCAAAAAAATGGAAGTTTTCTGAATTAAGTTGTGGTTTTATTTTTCATTTAAGATGTTTTGATGTTTAAGATGAAACTTTTTTTCAATTAAGAAAACGGATGAAAACCATCAGTAATAGGGATCAAATAAATTTATTGGAGTGGAATATTAAATTTCTGGTAACAAAATCTGATGATATTTATAACTTGTCTTGTAGTTGAGTTGAGTTAAAACATTCAGAAAGTTAACTATTTTGAAAAGATGTATTTTTGTTTCTTTTTTGTAAAAAGAGAAATTTGCTACGTTGACATGTTAAATTATTATGTTTATCTCTATTCAATTACAAACAGTTCATTTTGCCTTTGTTTCTTTAAATTCACAAACAATGAATTACTTCAAGGAATTGTGTTCATTTTAATCTGCACTAGCTTTGTATTTACTTGTGGGAGCATGAAATAATTAGTTACTTTGGGATATTTGCAGATTTTAATTTTTAGTTTAATTTGATACTAAAATGTTTCCATTATTTTATGCTGTTTCTGTATGATACTGAGGGGAGACTGGCTGATTATGAAAGTTCATGAAGGGGAAAAGTTGGCAGGGGGCTAAATGACTTCTTACCATGAAGAGGACAGTGTACTACAGAGGAGCTACATAAAACTTTTTCTATGCAAGGGAGAGATTTTTACCGAAAAGAGATACTCGTGTACCAGTTCCTTTCTAGAACATCAAACCTTCATCACAGCCTACCTGAAGAAAGTGCAGTCTCTCACCCGCTTTCCCACCTGTGCACTTTCCAACCCAAGGTACTTCGCATCTTTGTACTGGTCAGCCCCTGCCCCTCTTGCCTGGTACTATGCCCTGCTATACTGTTCTTTCCAAACCACTCTGTTTTTTTAATATGACCAAAATATTTCAGTTTCCAGACAAGATGTTGTTTACAAGCCAGTCTTCCTTGACGTTAAGATCTTTTAGAATGTCAATATTTCTTTTCTTCTTGGTCAAAAGTATTCTGAGAATCTTTTTATATATCATTTCAGCTCAAAAGCCCCTATTTTCTCTCTTAATGATTGCAGGATAGTCCACAACTCAGGTGCAGTAATAACCTTATGCTTCAGAAGCAGGCATCTTTGTGGATGAAGGGGGCATCACTGTGATTGTTTTGGGAATGAACATAATATCTGAAGGCCAGTATCAGATTTTACCATGAGTTTTGTTATTGTTTTTATTTCTTGATTACCATTGAATTTCCTTTTGAGTTTCATCTAGTTTCTTTATGTTCACACTCTGACACCAAAAATGTGTGATAAGAATGAAGTCATGAATTAAACAGTTCAGGAATTTATTTGTTTAAGATTTTGTGACATGAAATACACTGATTGTATGTTTAGAAGTGTACATATACTGTTGTGAGTATACATGTTATTTTTTTGTTTTGTTTTTGTTCCTTGCAATGTTAGTTTTATTAATATAAAGTGCTCTGCATATGTCTCAGTTCACAGTCTCAAGCACATTACAATCTTCATCTTATCAACGATCACTGTATTCTACCTGGGATGATGCATGTTAATTTAGTGGCTAAATGCTGGCCTGAAGGTCTTGGATTCAAATCCACATCGCGGATCATTTAGTTTAAAAGTTGCTGTGGCTCCCAAGTCGACTCTAGCCTAACATAAGTACCAAGCACTGTTTTTTTTGTGTATGTGTAATTTTAAGAATAGATTATGTACTGCACAGACACACACAGAGGCATGCAAACTATCTTTGAGTATAGTAATTGATTGAAAACCAGAAGATTATATCAGCTTGTATGTAAAATGTTGATTATTGATTAAATATTGTGCCATCTTATTACTGATATGTTGAACAGTTTCTGTTTTTATGTGTGTGTGTGTTTTTTTTGTTTCTTAATACCTGATAGTAGTATTCTAGAAAGTCCTTTCTTTGAAACCAACAAGGCAAATAATAAAATAGAGGGGGACCTAAAAAGATACAGAGAAGATAAGAATAGAGAAATAGTATTAAGACATTAGAGGAACTTCAGGACATACCCAAAAAAAAAGATGGTATGGCATGAGCTGGTTGAAGGCTTTGCTGGAATGAGATCTGATGTGCAGAGGAAGACTTTTTCCACATCACAGAAAAGATATAAAACTGAATGAAAAGTATATCAGTGAGCTTCACCATATAACAAACACAAACAAAACGTGAAGTTGCGGCTATC